CGGTGTTAGATGCAGAATTAATTTCTTTTTAAAATTTTAAAATTTTTAATTACCACTTAAGATAATCTTGATTGCTTCTGCTTCTTATTTAATTCATTTTTATTTGGAATATGGAAATGAGAGAGAATGTATCCCTTTTGAGAAACGCAATTTCTTGCCAAAATATTCGTTTCTCAAAAGAGATACTTTTTAATTGATTAAAGCAGATGCATCGTAAAATATGGATTTGTATCTCTTTTGGGAAGCTACGGACGAAAGTCGTAAAATAATAGGACCAGTTCAGATACTTAATCAAGTTCGAAGTATCGAAGGCCTTCGATGATCTAGAGAATTTAATTCTGCATCTAACACAATCAAGTAGACATTCAACACAGGTCTGAGAGCGAATATCAGCAGGATATACTGCCAGAAAGGGCCTAAAAGCCACCGTTCCAGGCCAAAACTGCCCGTTCTCACTCGATGACCCCCATCGAAAATAGTACCGTTCGATAGAGAAATTAATTCTGCATCTAACACAATGAAGTAGAAATACAGCGTAAGTCTGAGAGCGAATGTCAGCAAGAAATAGTCGAATCCACCGCTAAGTTTCCTTACATTAAATAAGCGTGTATCCCTTCCTTCGCGATTTCTTTTCTGTTATAGCAGAAAAGAACACAACAGAGTGATGCGATGGCTCTAAAGTCTCTCTAGCCGACTGTTTGTGAAACACAACAGAAAATGTTGCCAAATGCTAGCATAAGACTGAAAATGATTAAGTAAAGACCAAAAGAATATCAAGTGCCTATGTGGAGAAATGCACCGTCTACACATCGTCTCAGTGCACATTAGACAGGTGGATAGAACTCACAATTCTGCATATGATGGTCTAATTTTTAATTACAAAGATGAAAGTTCACCGTTGAAAAAAGTTGGTTTAGTTTGTACCAGCCATTTCGGCTGTGTTGACCGGAATTATCCCAACGGCAACCGTTCACTGACCGGTCGTTTAATACTAGCCGACTGGAAATTGATCAGAACTAATTATCTCAAAGGATTTCTGGAACGCTTTGTGACAAGATACTTTAAATTTAAAAAACGCCTAATTCCACATTTAAAAATCAACGACTTATGCTTTTCCGAAAATTCATACAACACGTCTATTCAAAGGTTTTATCATAGTTTAGACGAAACTAACACGATTTTTTTCATAAAATTATGTAAACAAAAGACTCCTCTGAAGTACTTCACTCTGCATTAAATGTCGATGTTACTCTTGTTTGCGTAATAATGTTGGGTACAACTTCAACATGAGTAACACACACTGGATTACTCACAATGGAGGGGATCTAGTAGAGTGTTGGAAATTAGTCTAGTGGGTTTATTTACAAGTTCAACAAAACCCATATTATTCACAAAGTCCCTCAACAGTACTCCTTCCTTAGTTGTTTGCTTAGTAGACACATTACTCCATTCAGCACAATGTGCATTTTTTGTTTTTGTTTCACCTGTAATAATAACTGAATCAAAGTTACGTTTGCGAAAAGATAAAGTAATCAATGTTTTTTGAATATGATTAATAATTTCATTGATATCGCAATAATCCGGGCGATAACATAGTATTAGAAGAAAATCCAGAAATTCCATAAGCGCATTTTTGCACTAGACCCAGTGATAAACTTATACAGAATACTTTAATCTATCATACGATGTGAAACTTGTGCGAAAAGAGCCCCTCTTGAACGCATTCTATGCTTGGAAAGGATTTTNTTTTAGCGATATTCCAGAAATATTTTACCGTCTTCATTGATCTTATAATCAACTTAGAAGGTTAATTAGCAATGACATCAAGAAAAAGTGAACCATTCATACACAGCACACGATGCTCTTCATGATGCACCAAAAATTTTTTCAAAACCAATCGTTTTAGTGTATCATTATTAGACTTCTTTCAAAGTAATGGCAATATCCAAGAGCTAAAATTAACTAAATTTTCAGAGTGTCCAGTCTGACGTTTATGCAGTTGTTTTTCATTAGCAGTAATTGAGTAGTTTTGTAAACGATGAAAGACGCTGAGATAAAAATGACGAAACTGTAGATTATTTTTGTCTGTCTATGATTAATTATCACTGAGTGAAGTATTAAAGACGCTAGGTGAGTATAAATATTGGAAATCAGCAGAAGTTATCGCCTTTCTCATACTTCAATTCTCTTTTACACATTATTATGCCTCATAAATATGTTAGTTCACGTTTCCTAGGTGGAACCGGTGGCAGGTCATATAATTCTGTACTATTTTGCGTCAGCGCAAGCGGAGTTATTTTGCCGCCGTATATAATCTACAAAGATATAAAACTATATAGTAACTAGTGTACTAAAGGTAACTGATGTTTTTCTTAAATTGCTCTTTCTCACGTTTGTGTTCAATTTAGGCCCGGATGGTACAGGATATAATCGCAGCATAAATGGATGAATGGAGGAAAATATATTTTTCCAGTAGTTTAAGAATATGTTTATTCCATTAATGGCAACAACACCGAAGCCAATTTTATTGCTACTTGATGGACATACTTCACATCAGAGTGTGCGCACTGTAGAATTAGCTATTGAACACAATATTATTTTATTATTGCTACCACCACATTCTACTACTATTCTACAGCCACTCGACGTTACCTTTTTCAAACCAATTAAGCAGAAGTATCGTGAAATTTTAAATGAATATTATTCTACATCAGCATATAAAAACGTCTCGAAACCTGTATTTCCTTCATTAATGGTCAAACTATTTATAAATTGAAGGTTCTATTAATGCTAATATTACCAGCATTCACCATGGAAATTCACGGACCACGAGAGAAATATTTAGCGGTAAGAAAAAAACTGATACATATAGGGCTTACTATATGTATAATAATATAGGGCCTCTCTCTTCAGCTGACGGCTAAATGCAAGTTCAATCGCAGCTGCACTATTCAGTTAACAATAGCGGCATAGTATTTCAATAGACGGTCGATGTAATTTTAGCTTTCAAGAAGGGTTAATCTTTAAGCCCGTGATCGAAATGGCATTAGACACTGTATGCTTCAGGAAAATGCTTGATATACTCAGCTGTTTAAATATTCTCATGTTTTTGGTAGAAAAAAAATTAAAAAGATGAGGCTTCATCACGAATCAAACATACCAGGACACAATCTGTTAAAAATTGTTAAAATACCATCTTTACGAAAATCACTGAACGATCTACCATCTTTAACAATAGCACTGTAACATAATGTATGTAATTCTCGTTTTAAGTTTTCAGATACTAATGATTTTGATGATTTTGCTGAAGGATTTGTTAATAAATCATATTTCTTATGTATGGAAGTTAAATGATATCTAATATGAGTCGTTGAATGTAATGGTGTTTTACATGTAAAATCTTTTCGTCGACGACCAACTGAATTTTCATTGACTGTTATTGTTGATGCTGAAGTGCTGTTGTTAGCAGCTGTTATTATTGGATCGTATTTGGAGAAGACGTTGATGGTGCATCATTTGTTGGTGGCTTTGGACTCTCATTCTCTTTATCACTGTCGTAGCCGTCACCATCAAGAATTTGAGCTGATCTGTATCGATTTCTTCGCAGACGTTTAACTTTTTGTCTTGCCATTGATGAAAATAGTATATCCAAAAGTAAAGAAAATCAAAACGCAGATAAAAATTTGAATGGAACGCAACATGTATAAAGCTATTTGCATAGGGAAAAGTAGGGGGAAAAAAACATCATCGTAATCGGGACGAATAAAATGTTTTTGTATCTAAGTTCTTTAAAATCAAAATTCTCTTTTACTGAAGATCTGTAGGCTTCCGTTAGGAAACAGTTGAAGAGAAGCAACTTTAAATAAACCTGAGAAAACATATGCCAGACAAGTTTCAACAAATTTCCTGTGAACCATCGAGCCATGGTATTATGAGACGCACAACATCTCGAAATTCAGTTTTAGACCAGTGATGCAAATTTTCTTTCATCTCTTTAAATTACGAAAGAAGACACAGAAATGTTTAGT